GGACGGACGGACGGACGGACGGACGGACGGACGGAGGGAGGGAGGGAGGGAGGGAGGGAGGGATGGACAGATAGATAGATTTTGATTAATGTATTTGTTTTTCTTTTTTCTATTTCTTTTTCTTTTTACTATTTCCCTTTCTATTTTTAATCATTCGTTTTTCTGTCTTTTTTTCTTATTTTGCTTTCATATTTTATTTATTTATTTGTTTGTTTATTTATTTATTTGTGATTCTTTTTCATTATGTTTTGTTTTAATTAATTAATTTGTTTTTAGATTTTTTTTTTCTTCTACATGTTTGTTTTTTACATATTTTTATATTTGAATTAATTTGGATTTTTTTTTCTTTTTTTTAGTAATTGGTTTGTTTTTCTTCTTTTTTTCGTGGTTTTCTTTGTTTTCCACTTTTTTTTATTTACCATTAATGTATTATAACAGACAAGTCATAGGACACAATGCACACTAATATGAAACAGTGCCGTAATATTAAGATTAATATTAAAGTATAATATTACTGATACAGTAAGACCTGTATCATTCAGTGTCCGGCTGTGGTTTCAGAGCTGATCAGGCGTGTTATCGGGCCGGAGGTTTGCGGTGTTTCTCCGTCACTGACCGGACGCTGATGGCTGGGGTGTGTTTCTCGGTCTCTGCAGGTCGGCAGCTGACGATCTTCAACAGCCAGGCGTTCATTAAGGTTGGCGGCGGTGAGAAGGGCCGTAACTTCCAGGGTCAGATCTCGGGGCTGTACTATAACGGCCTGCAGGTGCTGAAGCTGGCGGCGGAGGGCGACCCGAACGTGCAGGTGCAGGGGAACCTGCGTCTGGTGGGAGACGTGCCCTCCGTCATGAGCCCCGACACCACCTCCACCACGCCGCTCGCAGACATGTCCACCACCATCATGGAGACCACCACCACCATGGCCACCACCACCACCCGCAAACAACGCTCGCCCACCATGAGAGACAGCGTCACACAGGTCAGTGTGTGTGTGTTTGTGTGTGTGTGTGTGTGTGTGTGTGTGTGAGAGAGAGAGAGAGTGTGTGTGTGTGTGTGTCAGGAGCAAATGCTTGTGCAAAAGTCAAAAGATCCAGTGTGCTGGAAAACAGTTCTTCTCTGTTTGATAAGGACTTAGTTTTTAATGAGTGTCAGGATTAATTCCTGTGATGATCAACAGCAGAGACTACAGGGCTGCAGGATTTGGGGTGAAAATCCAAATGCAATTTTTATTATATAAAATTGTGATTTAAGATGTGATTTTAAAAAATCTTTGATTTGATGTTTTTGTTTTGTAGGACTGCACATTTTGGCCCAAAAATTATAATTTAATAATTTATTATTATTATTATTATTAATATTATTATTATTACTAAATTAAAAATACATTTTTAAATAATACATATTACTATTGCAACATTATATATAATAATTTTATCTCTCAATTATTTATTTATTTTAGTGTATTTATATATTTTTTATCCATATTTTTGTTTTAGGACTGCACATTTTGGCACATAATTTTGTGATTATGTATCAGTATGACTATAAAATGATAATGATGATGATGATGATGGTGATGATAGTGATGTTGGTGATGATGATGATGATGATGATGGCGATACAAAATAAAACAATAAGAATGACTAAATGAAACTAAATAAGAAATGTTAATATTACTATGTTGCTAAGTATTTAAAGAAATCATGAACTGCCTCTGTTTTTTGTTTTTTTTTGTACTTTTCTCTAAGGTCCATTTATAATGGCATCAAGATTTTTACATCAAAAATCATCATAATTTAGAAGTAATAGGCTATCATTTTGGCCCAAAAATTATAATTTAATAATTTATTATTATTATTATTATTAATATTATTATTATTACTAAATTAAAAATACATTTTTAAATAATACATATTACTATTGCAACATTATATATAATAATTTTATCTCTCAACAAAATTGTAGACTCAGACTCGGAAACACCCACTGCTGTACATTCCTCATAGATGGACACTGCTGTAATTTAGGGCAAAAACGAATAAATACTCAGTACATATCAAACGATCTGTTTAACAGACAAAGCAATAATGATCACGTAATGAAAACAGTTACTCACACTTGTGTTGCGACATTACTGTCGGATCCAATATAGTCGCACAGCATCGACTTTGTTTCAATCTTTCTGAAAATCCTGCGTCGAATTGTGCCTTGTTTGTAAACAAATCCACATTAAAAAGACGTGAATAAAGTACCGAGTTCTTAAAGACGCAGTCTGGATCTTCATTAAAAATAAAGTTAATTCACTCTTTCCTAAC